GGCTAACCTGCTGGCCACAGTGTCCCCGTCACTGCACTGGCGCGTTGGGATCCACACTGACCACTAGATGGGCTAACCTGCTGGCCACAGTGTCCCCGTCACTGCACTGGCGCGTTGGGATCCACACTGACCACTAGATGGGCTAACCTGCTGGCCACACCATCCCCTCTTCCTGCAGTGCAGATATTTGGGGGGGGGGGCATTCTAACTTGTAACGCTTCTTTCTTGTGCCCAACAGTTCCCAGTCGTCCTCCTGAGAGTGTCCTGGCCGCGGCCACATCGCCAGAGACCATCTCCCTCTCATGGTCCACCCCCGCCAAAGAAGCACTCAACGGTATCCTCCAGGGCTTCCGGGTCATTTACTGGGCCAACCTTCCCGATGGAGGTGAGCTTTACTTAAGTACTAATTAGCACGGGCACGGCCCCTCCCCCATTCTGGATGCAGATGCGAAGATCAAGGCTGGAGACATTAATGACCCTGTCACAGGACATACAGCAAAACAGCTCTGACGCTAATTAGGAGGTAGAGATATCCAGGTCTTTTACAGTTCCAGCTTTATTTCAGCAATAATGATTACAGTGTGATTAGATACAAACAGATACATTGTGGACCAGAGCCATTGAAACCATATTCTCAGACTCTAACCAAGTGAACGTTTATGTATCATGGATGCGTCAGTCTTTCCTGACTTAGCAGTTACCTTTGAATCCTTATCTTGTCACCTTGTCACTCAAGGACAAACCGCCATTGGACAATGCTTTTTGTTTTTTGAATGTGACAGATAGAGGTGTGAGTCTGTTTTGTCTTTCAAATAGGCACAAATGTAATTTATGAATGTACAATTAAAAAAAAAAAAAATGCATTCATTAATTTTCCTGAATCATTCATAAAGTGCAGAGACTCTGTAATATTTATGTAATTTAGTTTAGAAATTAATTTGTAATTTAGTACTTCACAGTACCAATTCCATAGTTTCTATATAAGGCAGATTCACACAAAAATATTTTACTTTAGTTTAGTTAGTGTAGTTTAACGAAGAATTGCATTTTCGTATTTACACCACTGGGTGACACCAAAGTACCATATTCAGTGGGAGCAATAATGCCCAATAATGTGTTTTACAATCTCTTCTGAGCGTTTAAATATTGTTTTTCATGTTCTGTTATTCATTAGAACAGCTGTAATATTTCTTAAACTCCCTTTAAAAATCCTGCCCTCGTGATTCATTTTTGATTATTTAGCACAAAGACATTCTAAAGTAGCACAAAGACATTCTAAGGTAGCACAAAGACATTTCTCTTCTGTACCCTGAATCAGCTTAATTACAAAGCACATACAGAGTAATTCCTTTGCATTTATAGTATAAAATGTCTCAGATGTCAGAATAAATCTGGTTAATAATCACTATGGCCATTTTGATTAAAACAGGAGGGTCGTTTTAGGTTCTCAGGGTGGGCATAAAATGGGAAATATATTGAAAAGAATTCAGTATAATCGTTAGGTCCTATAAACCAAGGGCAGACTGTTCTGTTTATGGCCTTTAAATCTGGTTTCCCAGATTAAGGTTTTGTCATTCTGTTTTCGATTTTGGCCAACCTCAAACGTCGCGGTGGGCAGACTATACCCCAGATGGCAGAAGCCGCATTAATAATGCAAAACGCGGCCCTATAACGGCGTCTGTGTCTGTAGCGGAGGAGGACGGCGTCTGAGTGGAGCTGCAGAAGGAGCTGATGATTACCTGAGACATGGAAATCATAATCATTTCATGAGAGATTATGTGTTAGATCACATTACATTACATAACATTCAACTTCATTGTCACTGTGCTGAGTACAGGTACAGAGCCAATGAATTGCAGTGAATTGCAAACAAAATATATACAAATACATAAGTAAATGTGTGTGACTCATGTCATCGTGTGTGTGAATGTACAAAAAATACACTGAATCAGGCCTGTCACACATAATTCCTGGTTAGGAACAAAATTACTATAATGCACCACACCCTTGCCAAACGCCCCCTCCACATCCTTCCACCC